GACACTTTTTAGCGCGGACCCGACGTCCATATAATTGTAAGTCAATGGTACTAAAGGTTATTACACTAACTGCCACGCTGAGGAGAGAAATATTTGTATGGCTTACATTTATTTCTCTCGTGAGTATTAGGTGTAATTTGTGGTTTTCTATGTGTGTGTCATTGGCACTCGGGTTTCCCTAAAACATAGGGTTTCCCTAGTGCGGGGCTATGTTGAGATTGTGCGTGTGTGCGTTATACTACTTCTGCAACTTTGGAAAAAATATATTATAATAAAAATATATTGTACCTAAATGATAAATGTTTACAATAATGTTTATTTACAAAGGGTAACTACTGGAGTTTCTTACTCATTCTTTTCAAGGGAATCTGCCTTACGAATCAATAGTAGAGTTTAGCCAATGTGACGATTTCAAGTGGAATATCTATGAAATAAAAATTATTTTAGTTTTGATTTTAATCAGGTGAGATGGAGGTCAAATGTTCGTCGATAATTTTTTTTATACTTAAATATGAGAGTAATAACATTATTTTTATAACTTTCATGTAATAACAGTAGTTTTGACGAATGATCACAATATGTTGTGGTTTTTATTATATTAAGGCACTATTTCAACGTCATTTACTTACTAAAAAGTATATTCACAGGTCACTTATTCGGCTACCTAACAAACTTTTAGAACTGTTTTATTTATCTTGTTTTATTACTAAGGCACATCAAAGTTCAAAATTACTACGATTTCGTCTGTCTATTTGGTATTCTATATTTATATTAATATCTATTTAGTACAGAGTACTAAAAACCCACCTCAAAAATTATTCATCCCCTAGTTTGCCACCGTTAGAGGTGGAATATTTTTTTCAAATTGAAATGGGACCATTCCTGAGGTACCTCTTTTCAACACAAAAAGAAACATCAAAATCGGTTCACAAACTATGTTGTATTATTTATCGCGTAACAGACATTAAAAAAAACATTCAGTCGAATTGAGACCCTCCTTCTTTTTTGGAGTCGGTTAAAAATAGACAAGAAAGATTGAAATATTAAGATTTTCTTCAGAATATTTTTCGCGCTAGTAGTAGATGAACTGAATATTACATTATTTGCTTTTTCAGTGGTTTGCCTGAGTGACATTGGAGCTTGCGCTTTGAGTTGCAAGACCGAAAAGGAGGCCAGAAAGGAGGAGGTACGTAATAATGATTTATTATTAACACCCGACGCAAAAAAGAACCCTTTGTCTATCTGAATGTCTGTATGGGCATCGTAGCTCTCAAACAGATGGACTAATCGCAAAGGGTTTTTTTGGTTAATGTAATCGGGATGGTTCTTAGTAGAGCGATGCCACTCGAGCCACGCGCTTACTTACGCACCGCAGCACCCCCGCTTCGTCTCCTGACCCTTGTCCGATGCGCACGCGTTCCATCGCAGCGCGTCATATCAACGCACCCAAGTGGCAAGTACACACATTCAAAGTGTCTAAGAATCAAGCAGGTTTTTGCCAATTTCTGAAAATCAGGTTTTATAATTAATTTTTTTTAACACCGATAGAGTCTTTTTGCCAATTTTATAATTTGAATTTGAAAATGTAATTGACAAGAAATCCATTGGTGTTAATAATCTATTGAAAAAAAAAAAGCTTGATTCCTAGACTTTTTGAATGTGTTCTAATTCATATGTCGTACATCGCAGCATAACACGGTGACGGTGCGTTGTGAAGTTGCATTGTACTACACATAAATCAGATTGACATGCCACATGCAACTTTGTACGCTGAAATCAAAGTGTTGCGGCGATGCAACACCCGTGTGGCATCGCTCTTATGGTAGAAGAATATTTATTTCTCTTAAGAGGGAGCATGCCAAAAAAGTTTTGACGTTGGCTCCGCCCAAATTTGTGAAACAAATATATGCCTGAAGTTCGCGTGACATGCGACAGGAGATGTTGAATTTTGCGCATTAAAAGTACCAAATTCGTTTTAGCGGAATAACTCCAAAACTAAAGGGATTTAAAAAAATCCGTAGTGACAGTTTTCGATCATGCATAAATATAATTAATTATCTAATTTTTGTCCTAATAACCTGTAGCATTTCGAGGATGAATCGAAAAAATGTGAAAATTAGAGGTCATTTCGTGATTTTTATCTATCGAGGAAACTTTATTGTTTTATGTTTCTGATTAGTGTCTATGCTTGAATATATCGTGTAGTTACTCATACAATATTTTACTTTTAACTTTAAAGTGGATATACCCCTCTAAAATCAAATCGAAGATTAGGAATTTTTCCTCTGCTGCCTCTTAACAGTGAAGCGCACTAAATATATAACCATCACCAGTCACTGCATATTAAGAAAAATAATGTAGGTAGACAAAAATTTAAATCATACGATTTGAGATGAATTTATCTACATTTAGTTCCGAAGGTAGTTGCACGATACGGCCGGCATTCACACGCAACAAACAAAAACATGAATGTAAGAGTTACGACTTATCCATCCCGCATCTAGATATGGCATAGACAGAATTGACTTTTTAATTTTTATCCACTTTTAGGACAATTATTTAGTCACATGATTTATTTGTGTTTATTTTTTTAACTTAACTCGCATTTACTGTGTATTTATTATTATAATTTTTTAATGTATTACTTTTACTAGTTTTCTATTTTTTTATTATTCTTTTTTGTTACTATTTGTTAAAACTGATGTTTACCATATATTTAGGTATTTATAAAATGTAAAACAGTAAATTGAACGTTTATAATTTTAATTATAAATTGTAATTTTTTAATCGTGACATATTGATGGTTGTGACTTAAGCATTTTTTCAAATCTAGCTATCGTTTTTGCATTCTTAATTTGGCAGTTTATTGAACAGTTTAGCACCTTCATATTATATATTATATTTACCGTAATTTGTTCTAGGTGGTCTGATAATTAAGTTATTCATACTACGTAGTTTAATACTCTGCAGTTGAGATTTCTGTACTTACAGTAGAACTATCGTGCTTGACCTCATTAAATTGGGCTCGACGAGTTTCTAACTTACGGATGGTGGAATTCGCGTTTTGGGGTACACTGTTTTGTATCGCCCCCGATCTTTTTAAATTTTCATTTCTAAAAGAAATGCATCGAACGTGCTAGTGCTGGTACATACCACATGCCTCTAATACAGCTAAAAACATTTTTGTTTCTCTAAGGTGCGAGCCTTAGCAGAAGGTCTGCGACCAAATCCAGCCTGTCTTCCTATTACCAATATTGAAGACGGCGTAGGTGAGTAGTCTTTATTTTATTAATCCATTACAAGCCTAGCAGATTTGAGCGTTTATACAAACCAGCTAGGAAAGGGGATCATAGGGAACAATTTACAATGGAAAATGAAACAACTGGTTGGTCACGGGTGGAACCTGTAACGAGCCCGAAATGATGTATTTATTACGGAACATGACATAGAAAATATCATATCTCTAAAACAAGTCGGTTGCCAAGACTTTTAGGCCAATTTAACCAATTAGGAAGCAGTATAACGTTTGAGTAGCTTCTTAGTTGACATTTAAATTAGCATTCTTCGTTCTTTTTTGCAACTCATCATAGTTCTGTGTACAGAACTTTAATGACATTTTTCAGCTTAGTGGTAAGTACCATAGACGATAGAATTTTGGTTCAGAACTAAAAAGAACGCCTTTATGATAATATGGGTTATGAAATTATAATTGACAGAGTTCTTTCAAATGTTTAGAGAAAATTTTAAATTTTTTAATATCTTTTATGTAAGAAATGAAACTATTTTTCCAGATTTAAATCGCGTATATTTGTTTTTTCAAACAAACCGACGTTTCGGGCCTTTTACAGGTCCCATGGTCACGGTTGACTGAGGTGGTACAGTCTTCAACCAGTTATGTCAGATATTGATGCAAACCACTCTATTTTTTCACTATAGTTACAATAGTTATTAATTAAATACCTTATTTTTAATTTTACAAAGAAACATTCCAATTTGCGCTACATTAATTTAAATCTGGAAAAATAGTTTCATTTCCTATGAGTAACAATCGCGAAAACCTAAGAACTCGATCTTTTATGTAAACTATATTATAATAATTATATCTTGCGGTCCTAAACAAACAAATTTCAATTTAAAAAAAACGTACTTTTGATTGCCTATTTCCAGCACTGGAAGTCTCTATGCTAAAATGATGATAATGACAATTTGATATATAATTAATTTGATAATTAAAATTTTCCAGTGGATCCACCTGTGATATCTTTCGCACTGTACATATCCGTTGTACTGTTGCTATTTCTACAACTAGCGTTCGCCGTCGTCTCCTCGTGTCTGGCCGTCGCGAACGCAGTGAAAAACCCAACGGAACCTGTTTTTGGTTTACCAGGTTAGCTCTTAATACGTACTACTTTATTTTCTGTTTCGTGAAAACTTAAACTCTTGAAGACAGATCCGGGAAGTTATCAATTTCCAATCCACTTTGACCCAGTACTAGAACTCTCTTCGCGGAGGATATGTAATGTCGATGGCCTAAGGTACATATCTGACCTCTATCCGACCATTTGGTTCTAAGTAGATAACAATGAAGAAAACTGTTGAACAAACTGCCTCGACTGTCCCCGTGAGTACGTTTAGGTTATTGGGTACTGAAGAGACGTCGTTTTTCGGTGTCGGGAAGTGATCGCTGCCGTCAATTACCCAAAACGCAGCTAAGTGACAAGTGGTTAAACATCTGTTTTAAATAGCGTAAGGTAGAGCTCAAAATTCTCTATTTATTCAAATTCAAATTCTTTATTTGCCACGTCACAAAGCTCGTAACATTTAGCACGTCAATAGTACAAAATATCTTATCAAAGTCTTTCACTACTAACATTTAATGTATTACACAATTAAATTCAAAGATTTGCACACACACACATAAATGAAAATATTAATTTAATAATAATATATTGTTATGAAATAAATCGTATAAGTAATAAATCATTAATAGATACGTTAAATGTCATAAAATAATGAGCATTTTTTTGAATGCATAAGGTTAAAATTAAAATATTCGTCAATTTTATAGAATGGACTTTGAATTAAAATTTTTTTTATCTTTTTTTCGAATTCTAATTCGGGAAATTCGGATATAGTCGGTGGTAGTTCATTGTCATAATTTTATCTTTAGACAGTAACCTTGCTTAGCAGTTCTTTTCAATCTCGTTTTTGGTACTATCTATATATTTTTGGTACTATGTTTTGAAAACAGTTAAGTGAGTGATAGACGTACGAGGTTAAAAATCACGGTTTTAAAGTTTGCATTCTTACTCAGCTCGACGTCGGCGACACACGACAGGTTAGCTTATAATGTTACGCGATGTCGTCCACGGAGGTCTTGTGTTATTTGGGAATAATATCACATCACATTTTGAAAACTAAAAAAGAAGACAAAATCGGCGAGTGTGGGTGAAGAACTGGCTTACGAAAAGAGAGCATTTATCACATGTAAATTTAGTAAGAGAGTTACGTGAAGAAAAGGAAGACTTTCGTAATTATTTATGAATGCCCGAGTCGTTGTACGAAGAACTCTTGCACTTAGTTACACCTATAGTAGCTAAACAAGATACCTGCATGAGAGAAGCTATTTCATTTGAAACAAAATGGCGGCTCGCGACGCTGACAGACGTGCGACATGTTTGATCGCTGATGGACTTGCGCGGCAGTTTTAAAATTCGCGTACTTAGGGTGACATATGAGTGAAAAAGATTGTCGAGCCACAAGTACGCGTATTTACTCGTAGGTCTATCACCCACTTTAAAGTTATTTAACGAGTAGGACAGATCGGAACTTGCCCTAATTTCCATATTCTAAAACTAGGTTATGGTCTTTGATATCTGAAACTTTTGTTAGATAGCCGCGTTTTAATTGACGTACGGCAGAGTGTGCCTTAGAGTTCCGCCACCAATGAGAAGGAAAATAGGGAGGGTACTGTGCACCTGGGGCATCTCACTCGAGGCACTAGCCTCTCGAGAGTCGTATGGAGTCAAATGACAGAGGTCTGTGACAACCCTGTGCACTGGCTGATCTGGAGTCAGAACCTGAACTTGTAAGGTTCCTATGCGCGCACAGGTTATAGTGCCCGTCTCGTATACCCTAAGGGTCGATAGGGAGGATCACTATAATCAAAACTAATGTAGAAAGACATGGGGCTGCCGCCGTGCGTCTGTGGCCGAACGGGTACCATGCTGGTCTGCTACGCAGAGGTCCCGATTTCGACTTCCGGGTCGGGAGAAATATTTGTATGGCCTACATTTTTTTTGTAAAAAATAAGTGCGCATTTGACTTCCATCTCACCTGATGGACAGTGATGATGAGGTCGACGATGTAGCGTGTACACCTAAATAATGTCTATTCACTCTCACCTTGAAAAGGTTCCAGTTATAGGGTTCGGGGAACAAGTCAGCAGGCAGGGAATTCCACTCTCTAGCCGCTCGCCATATAAATGTGGAAGCGAAACGCTTCATGCAAATCCTGGGAATATCCACGACATAGGGGTGGATTGCATTTGATGGCAAAATAGGCGCCTTGACGTCGAGTTGCGGACACTAGCCCGTTACACCAAGTACCAAGTAGGGGTGGAATCCCAGCCCACGTCTAGTCCCCGATGATGGAAGGGGAAGGCGGAATCTAATTATGCAATTCCATCGCACACTCTCTGTGATATATCCTGTAGAATACCGATAAGCAGGCAACTTTACGGCGGTGTTCAAGGCTCTGCAGCTTCGCCTCTACTAACTTCGAGTCACCTTTTTTCTTTTTCTTTTTTTTTCTGATTTCTTCTCCTCTGACTCTTGCATTGGTCAAGTACCTGACCACAACTGTGCTGTCATCAGCATACCCAAAGGCTTCTGTAATTAACATACCATTGATATGCAGTAGAAAGAGAGTTGCGGATAATACGGAACCCTGAGGGACTGCATCTATCACCCGATGTTCGAAAGAGACCACTCGAACCGAACGTTCACTCAAGAAATCCGAAATCCAGTTGCAAAGGTCACTGGGAAGCCCATAAGAGGGAAGCTTGCTTAAAAGGCTTGCGTGGCAGACCCTGTCAAAGGCTTGAGAAATGTCTAAAGACACTGCAAGGGCTTCGCCATATCTTTCTATAGCTTCGCTCCAACATGAGAGGCGTACCTACACAAGAAGATCCCCAGCAGATAGTCCTCGTCAGAATCCATACTGGCGATCACTGAGTAGGTCGTTGTCTTCAAGGTACGACAGGAGACGGTCATTAAGTACACGTCCCAAAGTCTTGCAGAGTATGGAAGTCACTGAGATAGGTCGATAGTTGACAGGATCAGCTGTGCTTCCTTTTTTTGGCACAGGTTCCACGTTTGCAAGCTTCCACGACCAGGGAACTACATCAATCTCAAGTGAGAGGCGATACAAGCATGTGAGAACAGGAGACAACTCAGGCGCTCAGTTACGCACGACTATTCCTGGAATCCGTTAGCTTTATTCACGTCTAAACTTCGCAGAGTTCTAAATACCTCTTTTTGGCGTAAGCGAACTGGCGCCATACTGCAGCCAGTGTGAGGTAAAGAAGGTGGTACGTTCCTTGCGGCGTCCAGATGCGAGTTTTCTGCAAAGAGTGAAGCAAAAAGATTCGCCTCCTCTTCCGCAGTATGAGCCAGCGAGCCATCCGGCCTCAGCAGAGATGGTAAAGTAGAGAGGCTAAAGTTTGATTCGACCGCTTTGGCAAGGGACCAAAAAGACTTGCTGTCTGCTGGAAAAGAGGCAAGTTTGGCCCCTATGCGGCGCACATGGTCAAACTTTGCCCTGCGTAACACCTTTTTGCACTTCTTGGCGGTCTTATTAAAGGCTTTCTTCAAATGCCGAGTACTCGGAGGTTTGCGCAGTCGAGCATCTGCCCACATTTCTTTCTCTCCTGAGTTTGGGTGTAATTTGTGGTTGTCTATGTGTGTGTCCATGGCACCCGACACAATGTTTCCCTAGTGCGGTGCCACGAGTAATGTTATTATTAGATAGACAATGACATGACGAAATTGTACGCGTTCTTAATAGTATTAACCAAAACATATTTTTTCCAGGATGTCTCTGGTGTAACGTAGTAACAGCAGTCCTCGGTGTCGCAGTGCTGTTGACCTTTGGTATCTACTACACAGTGTCAAATCTACCAAATCATTTGGCCGTGGGCTATATTGCTTTGGGACATTTTAACGAATGGTGGCCCGGACTAGGGTACTCGTATTGGTAAGTACAGACCATAGTATTTATATGACAAGTCGTTCATTAGAAATCCTAGGCCTGCGCAGTTTCATGAATAATGATTTCAGCATCATAAACAGTAAAAACAGGGTTTTCAGTTGCTCGGTTTGCGCAGTACCTTAGGTAAGTTCAGAACTACGAAAAAAAAGTGCCTTAAGACTCGGATTCACACTATGAAAACTTGATAATGATTGGTCGTAATTTCTAATTTAAAAAGAATTGATAATTCTGGACTAATAATATAATTTAAACTTAGCCCTGTTGGCATCTCGTGGAAAGTTCAACAGTTCAACACATCATTCCAAGTTACAACTTTTCGAGTTTACATTGAAATTTTAATCAATGTAATGCCATCTAGCTGAATGATTAACGCCTACGAGTAGCGTGTAAAAGAAGCATTTTGCAGCGGTATAATGTTCACTTTCGTTTCTCATAACAAAAAAAAATGTTACGATAAACGGAAAATTTAAAATGTATTAAAATTAAATAATACTTAAAGATGATATGAATCGCCACCTTATATAATATAGCAGACGCAACTATCATTTTTGCACTCCAAAGTAGCAAAATAAGGCATTTTTCTACGATTTTCGAGATTTTGTGCGAAATATTTGACACGTCCATAACATACAAAGCGAAAATGGCAGACTGTTTTCAAGTATGTGGAACACCACGTAGGGTTGGCACACTTACCACGCCCACTTAGCACTTCTATTGTATTTATTGTTCTGTGTTCAGAACATAGTAGAATAAAACCAAGTAGGGTAACTCCATACAAATATAGCCGCGCTACTTATAAGTGTGCGCGTATATGGAAGAACACACTCGCATAATCTCGCGTTACATAGCGCGGGTTGTCACACGCGCTATTCACTATAGAATTGAAGCGTTTGGTCGGTGTTAAAAAGATGACATGAAGCAGACGTTTTTATTGTTGTGTTAATGGATCTTTGAACAAGAGTGCCTCATAATTGTCGTTCTTCTCGATACCATACTCCCATAATCGAGAAGCCAATGCTGATATAAGAATATCAATATGTAGTTAAGTATTGCATTTGACAATTGTTATATCAATATAGCACGAAATATCTGTAAAATACCTTGTCTTTTTCAAATCATGTTTACAGGTTGTACCTGTAAAATAATAACGTGACAACCCTGCGCTCTGAGTGAAGTGTGAGCATTGATGCGCCAAACAGGCGGGAGTTGCCTTATTTGGTCGTATTTTTAAAATTCATTTCATGGCCATGGGTACGAGTCCTTCAGTCAAAATATTAGAGACTATAAAAAAAATAGCTTAATAATAGAACAAAAATAACTTAGTATTTTTTTTTATAATGAACCTGTATGCAGTAAATGAATTGAACCTGCCGACTCGGCAACATAGGCTTGATGTCGGCGTCCTTATTTCTTATCGAATCCGTGATGATAATACGATTCTAGAAACAAGGCCGCTGACACCATCCCGCCCACGTCGACGGGTTTGGTCTATAGATCCTTTCAAGACTACGGGCGCATTTTGCAAGTCATAGCTCAGAATGGCTCTGTAACCAGGGGCAGTTGTTCGTCCCGTCCCTTGATATTATAACATAAATGATAAAACAGACCGCCACACGTTGTCTAACCATCGGTCTTGTACGGACTAAATCATGAAGATGACAATAAAAGCTTTTCTTTTATTTCAGGCTTCTATTTGGTGCCATGCTCTGTTCTCTAATAAACGTGGTTCTTCTAGTGGTGAGACGGTATCTGCTGGAACGGGATCCTCCACCGCCCACTATTAAGGTGGAAAATCATTCCGACGACACTATATTCTTGTATTAATAATATTTTGTTTTAAGTAAATATTTATACAATGACTGTTTTATTTAAAAATTTCTAAACATTATTATTTGTGTTCCTGGAGCAAGCACGGACTTTATATTAAACGACCACGCACTAAGTTCATAAAAAGAGCCGAGTGAGAGGCTTCAAATTAGTAATGCGTCTCTTTCTAATGGAGTGTTCATTCGTTTGTTTTAGCCAGCCATATTGTTTTTAACTTTTTAATTTTTACAGAAAATGTGGCCGCTTATAGATGACTAAAACTACTAATATTATTTCTTAATACAAATTAGTATACTTATTTGATATGCTTAACTTCATAATAGAAGTTTCATTGTTGATACATATTTTTTTGTATTATTACAGTAAAAGCATATTACATACCTTTAAGCTAATTTTATTTAACCGAAATTTAAAAAAATTAATAGACTAGACACTACCTAAGATAATTTTATTTAGCATTGGCAACTTGTTAGACAAGGACAGACCACTACATCGAGCTATCTCACGTGACTCGGTTTTTTACTTTTACTTAAAATAAACATTAACATAATCCAATAACGTGTAAATTTGTAATATTGGTATATCGAAGTGCGCGATCCAGTTTATGAAATATATAAATCCGTGGGAGCAAGTAAAGTGAGTAACCGTCCCTAAATATCGGGAAAACAATAAAAAGTCATAACTTGGCAATAAGCGCATGACTTGATAAGATGTCAAGTCCTTTTCACATAGCATGGGTATTTGTGTTTTCAACGCCACTTGGTGGCGGCGAGAGAAGAGCCTCTACTAAAGTATGCAATGGTGACACCATCAGAACATTTTTCTACTCTCCGCGAGTCCACGACTCCACGTCCTCCGTCACGTCACAGTCCGTAGCTTCTAAATTTCCAGAAGCACTCTCTCATATTTCATCGACGACACCACATTGATCGTTCGTTAATTACATTATCTTTCAGTCGTCATATTGTATTTAAATTATGTAAAGGATCGCATTAAATATCCTAAATGCAAATTAAATAAATCACCTAATTGAAGAGTCTCACCTGTCCCGAAGATTGTTACACACACAACCCAAAAATGGGTACAAAAAGTGAAGTTCGAGATTTGATATTTCTGGAGAGGTAGTGATGTGAAACCGAATGGAAAAAAATCGATTTAAATATCTTATGAAGACAGTTTGTAACGAAGAGAGAATCGATTTTGGACTATATTTTAAGAACAATTAATAAACAATTTAATATATATTAAAAAACAATTATTATGTTATTAAGTTACTAAAAATTTAAACAACAAATAAAATACCAAAAATATATCAAAAAAGTCTGTTGACTTTATTGTTTAAAGGATAATATCAATAGCAATCAAACGAAATTTGAACAATTACCTATTAAAGCTCAAAATAAACGAAAATTTTCAACATTTTCGTTTGTTTTTAGCATAAAAGGTGTGTAACACGTATTGACTCGAAATACACAATTCTGCCCTGCTATGCCGAAAGGCGCTATCTCTGAGATACGCCGTTTTAGTTTTTTTTATACCATTCAATAGCTATAATAATTTCGCATCTAATGGTATAATAGAAAAATAGCGCTATCTAATTTAAAACATTTAAAAAACCAGTAAGAAATATTTTTATATCTCAATTTTTCCTTAAATTACTAATAGATTTGGCGGCTTTCTTATAATCAAAATAGCGGTATCTCACAAAATAGGTATAATGGTACAATTTAGGTATATCAATAAATCTATAGATTTATTTTTCAAAGTGCGAAAATACAATTTACAAAAAGTCGATTTTCATAAAACTTACCCCGATTGAGATAGCGCTTTTCGGCTTATCAGGGCAGAATGGCCGATTCGAGTTATCGATTCCATCGTGTAAATCTCCATGGCTGAATATTCCGGTTTACGCATCAATTAGCTTATTAGCAGTAGGGCTCCTTGTGACAGAGTTCATCCAGGGAAGTACTACCACCTTACCTATTTTTGCCGCCAAGTAATGTGAACATTACAGGCACATGGGACTTGTCAACTTATGTCTCAGGACGTTGCGCACAGTGGCAGTGCCTCTCAAATATTTGTAATTTAAAGTTCTTAGTAGCACTGCAACTGTTAGGGATAGGCGTGTCGCTTACCACCAGGCACACGACTTGTTCGTCCCGTCACTTAATATTATAAAAAAAGTTGGGGTTATTTATTTTTATCTTTATCATTTCAGTTTGTATCTACTTCGTATAGTGTAATTTGAAACAAATCGACTCACCCGTAGAACAAAGACCTATGTGCAAGATGCTGCTTATTCTCAGGACACTACATTTCGTTTGTTGTTCTTGAAAAAAATCCAATGTCCGCAATATCGCAGATCCGATACAACGTGCACGATAGTGTGCATAGAAGATAGGTCTAATAATACGTCTGTAGTGATTCCAAAATTGGTTCGACTAAAACTTCGTAACGATGGGGCACTAAAGGTATGGTCCCATACAAAAAATACACACTTTATTTTTTTCCTACTAAACTATTAGATTTATGGCAAAATGTGATATGACAATATTTAATTAGGACAATAGGATCTCTCGATCGGCGTTTTTTTTAGAGAGGTATCGTGAAAAAAATCCAATGTCCGCAATATCGCTGATCCGACCCACTGTGTCGTAAAGTTAAGTTAAATATAGTGTACCTGCCTGTCATAAATTACGTCAATTTTTAATGTACTTAGGTGATTTCCCGAATCCCGAACAGGTCCAGGACCTAAAAAATATTGTCGTAAGGAGGTCTCTATTTTCTGTCTATGATCCTCGAAGTTTAGGTAAAAAAACTCTACCTATTCCGACCCCTGAATTAATTACATCCGACTCTGTTCTTCGGATGAGTCGAAATATTGTTTGTTTTTGGTATATTATTACAACAAATTTACTATTTCTTTTTGTAACCTGATTGTGAGGGTACTTAATTAAAAATAGAATGTGTACAACGGAATTTGTAATGGCACAGTACCCATCCTATGTGAAATGGACTATAGTGATAATCTTAGGATTAATCATTAAAGTCTTAAAATGTATCTAAGCCTGCAAATTGTCAGGTTTCAAGTTAAAGGCCTTGACGTGTAAACACAAACTTCGCACCTTTAGAGCGTTTGTGAACTACGTCCGACTCGCATCAGGGGGTCTACTCTCGATCTCCGTCTGACATCCGTCCGAAACAATTACTGTCAAATAAGGAATATTCGACAAAATTAAAAGACACGTATCAAGTATGAAGCTTCATTCGCATCACGCGTCTTTTCATTTGGTCAAGTATTGCTTATTTGGCAGTAATTGTTTCGGACGGATGTCGAACGGAGTTCGAGAGTAGACCCCCAGTTCCGAATACGAGAAATGACGGTCCGAAATGTCATTTTATCTCTAGGTGTAGAAGCGATATTAGTATTTTTTCGGATTCGAATAGGGCTTAGTGCACAAGCGGCATCCGAAGTGGGTCCGAGTTCATTTTTGTTCCAAATCCGAGACTACACAAATCTAGATAGATTTGTGTAGTCTCGGATTTGGAACAAAAATGAATCGGATGCAACGGATTACGACTTTTTAGGCATAAATAAGATGACTATAAAATGTCACATAATACGCAATTTGTTTCATGGGTTAAAAACACTTTTTTCACATGTGGCTTTGTTATACTTCTTTCTTACTCTTGTACGACTTCTGTTCTTCATGACAACGAAATAGAATATCGGTCAGTCGATGAAGCTAAGGATTTGGAAAGATAGTGAGTGATATTTTCAAAAAGGCCCTTAAACCAATACTATTATTAATATGCAAGTGACAAATAAAATATGAATTTCAAGTAGTTTTTGCTGCAATTTTTTATTTATTTTTGATTTTACTATTTATTTGTGTCTTAAGTGCGAATGTTTTTTAATTATGTGTCTCTTTTTATATTTTTATTTTTTTCCTGTATTGGTTATTTATTTTTATTTTTTTCTTGTGTGGTGTCAGTTGTGGTATTTCCATACCACATAAAGGTTCTTTTTTATTTCTTTCTTCACTTTCAATTTGAAATTATTATAACCGAGATTTTTCTCGGCAGGAACCGTACCACTACCAACTATACCATAAGAACCATAGCTACCGTACCAAAAATACTTTTATGTTATTATGTATATTAATTTATCTTTCTTTTGATTATTTGCACAAAGATATTTATTTGATATAAGCATGGAACAATAACCAAAGAGGACTGCTAATCTCCATACTAAAGAGCGTAACACTGAAAAAGGTTAAAATTCGGCCTTATATTTAGATAGTGCTGAACAATAGCTTGGAAGTTGTTTATATTATGTAAATAGCCGTGAATATCAAACACCACGTAGATAGCGTTGGGATCAAAATAGAACGCGCTATCGAAGTGTTCAGTAATTACCATATAAGCTGTTAAAGGAAATTGCTTTGTATCCTCCTCAACGACTCTGACGACCCTATCACTCTCGTCTCTTTGAACCAGATCGCACATCAGTGCTCCATCTCCACATGCACCAACCGTCCTCGCCGCCGAGGTCGTAGAGCCCCTCATTTCAGCACGTACAGTGTAGATTCTCTCCCACAGCACGCCCTTCTGGCGGAAGACTTCAGTAGCGCCCTGAGCCCAGGTCCGTGCCCACTTGTGCGCCCTCAGGCCCGCTACTTAGTTTTAAGTTTATTTTACGGGTTATGAGCCTTCAGCTCGTCTTTTTCTTTCGGTGGCGCAGTCAAGGCTATCAGCAGCCAACTGCAAAGTATCCTGAAAAAAAAATGCTTAGTATCGAGTCATAGGGCCTATGAGTGACATTCTAGTACTTCCACCGCGTGGGATACTGAAAGCTTGAAAAGAGCCAGAAAGCGTCTGTACAAATCTTTATATTCGTGTAATAGCCAGGGTTTCAATGGCGGAACCATTATATCCGATGGCTTCATTGTTATACATATATATATGATACAATAAAGGTAATTCAGGTCGTTTTAAAGTGCCTAAATTCATTTCTAACATTTCTATGTTTAACAATAAATGCTATATATCTATTCCTTATACCTATAGTACTCTCGCATTGGAATGATTACCTGCATATTCAAGTTGACATGACCCCTATGAGTGGCAACAGGCG